CTCTTAATGGTAGTTTCTGCGCCTCATATAAAGATTTGAGCGTCTCTATTATTCGCTTGCTCGCATATGTAGTGCATAGTGTACAATCACATTATAGAACTGATTTTCTGAAACGTACAATAAAATAAATTAATACTGATCAATATGATATTATAATAGTCTTTGGAAATAGCAATGTAATGTGTATTGCTGATAGCAGGTCCACGGAAAGTTGATGCCCAGCTCATTAATAATTGAGAATTATTCATCGATAGTCAACAAAATCGATAATTTTTTCGAAAGCTTTGAAGCACTCCTTTGAGATATTTTCGAAAATCACTCGCCTATTCGTATTTGTACTGGTAGGACGCACTTTTTTTGTTCTCCTTTCTCCTGGTAATCGATTTTATATATAAGTGTCACGTGTGAATACACGTGATTCAATAATTATCAATCAACAAGTATTCACTAATTTTTATTGATTTTCTTGTTGAACATGTCAAACAAGGACCCAAGGTCCGGTCGTTACCATAACTCTGAAGATGTAATTAAGGCTGACAAACGTGATGTTGAATTAACATTTCTGAAGAAAGTTAATATGAATCATCAAAGATTAAACTCGCCAAGTGGTAGTGATCAAGGTGGTAAACGGGGTCGTACATCAAGTGATGATGATTATGAACGTCATGTTACTATAAATGGTACCCCAAAACGATCGAGATCAATTCAAAGAAATACACGTACATTTACCAATTCTTCACTTAGTGCGACAACTACATGTAACAATGATTCAAATTCAAATTCAAGAATGGACAATGAAAATATCCAATCTAACAATAATAATAATGGAAAGAATGTTAATGTGAATAATGATTCATCCATTTTTAATTTTTCACGAAATGCTATTGATTATGCAATTAATCAACACCTCCCCCCAATTAAAATTATATGTGAACCTAAAATAGGTAATCAAAAGGAAGGTGGTATTATTATTAAAGGATTAATTAAATCAATTGAAAAAGATTTTAAAGGTATTAATCCTAGACATAATGATCTAATTGGATTTGATAGTTGGTATATTAATTTTAATGGTGATATTTGCTGTATTACAAATGATATTGATTTATTTGTTTATCTTTGTGACGATAAAAATGTTCCAAATAAGGTTGAGAATACAATTATTTATATTATTAAACCGAGGAATTTACCTCCTCAGAGGTCAGTGATAATTAAAAATGTTCCTAACTCATCATGTTTGGAGGATATGAAAGTGGAAGTTATGAATAAATTTAAATCAATTTATTATTTTGATGAAGTATTAGGAACTAATAATGGAAGAACAAGATTTATAAGAATTGACTTATTGAACCATTTAGAATACAAACAGATTATGAACGCTGGTATTATTTGTATTGATGGACAATGTTTTCACGTACATGAATTTCTTGCTGCGCCTCGGGTTATGTTCTGTTCTATGTGTAATTTACCAGGACATATAAAAAGGCATTGTAAATTTATTTATGAAAGATGTAAACGTTGTGGTGGTAATCGGAAGGAAGGAGAACACAAAGAATGTAAAATTACCTGTCATAATTGTCAGGGTGAACATGTTGCTACAGATTTTAGATGCCCTACAGTTCATTCGTATCGTAATGATCTTATTCAATATCTTCGTCAACATCCGGAAGCATTACCAAATGATACTCAAATCTTCATCCCTTCAAGTTTCCGTCAGGAAGGTGGGAAAGTATTAGGTAAACGTATGATAGAAAAAAATCAAGTTTTATATCATTACAAACCAACAAAAAGTAATTCCAATCCCGCTTGGCCATCGATATCACCAAAAGCAGCTGTTTATGAACCTAATATTAATTTGAATTATCCGAATGTAAATATAAAAGAACATTTGAATATTAAAGATTATTTAAATCGCATTGAAACACAATGTAATGAAGCAAAACAAGATTATGATAGGAAATTTAATGATACCACAACAAAAATTAATACGTGTTTAAATCAGGTTCAATCTATATTGAACTGCTTCTCGTCAACAATCCAGCGTCAGAATGAAATGATTTATGTATTAAAAACTTCACTAAATGAATGTCTTGAAATCATTAAAATTACTAATCAAGGATTATGTCTACTAATGGAAAAAACTGGTGAGCAGCAATATGGAGATATGATTAAACAAATAACTGCTCTACCATTGGATGAAAGACAAGCATCAATTAATAAATTTTTCTCGGCTTATTCACCATTAATTGATGAAATTACGATGAAGATTATGGTTGCTACGGAAAATCTGCACATCCATAATGGATAATCCGACATTTAGATATTCTTCGCCATATATAGATGAAGTGCTTAGTGATTCATTTATTGGTACTAGTAGAGAAAAACAAGAACTAAAACAAATTATTTATGAATGGAATACAAGGTCCTGTAAAACTGATTTATTTAGTGGTTGGTCCAAAAGTAAGCCTAAAATTGAAGACTCTAATCTCTGTTTTTTACTATATAATGTAAATTCTTTATGCAGTCATATTGCTGATATGGACATAATCATTTCTAAGCACGCTCCAAAAATTTGCTTTCTAACAGAAATAGGTAAAACAGCATTGAAAATGTTGCCCCAATTTCCTGATTATCACCTGCTGGTACAGGAGGGTACAAATACATTTGGAGGTGTAGGTTTATTAATCCATCACTCTATTAAGTATAAGGAAGCAGTGAGAGATTTTAATTTCCTAATGGTGGAAATTGAAACAACACCTATATCAACATTAATAGGAGTGGTTTATGTTCCACCAGGAACAATACCCCCATTTCATCTGTTTACAAAATGTAGAAACAAAGCTTTTTGTATTTTTGGTGATTTTAATGCGAAACACGGAGATTGGAAATGCGAAACTAATAACGCTAGTGGTAACCGTATTATAACATGGTTAGGTGAAACAGGAAATGAAATGATTTTACCGAATAAACCTACTTCACGTAGGTCTGATGCCATAATCGATTTTGGTATCACTCACGACGCCACAGGTTGGCATACTGAAGTACTAGATGAAGGAACTTCTGACCATTTCCCTATACTAATACAATCTCCATTGAATGTTTCTGATTCTGCAGTATTTAGGAAAACAAATTGGAATCTATTCAAGTCTTTCCTTAATTGTGTATATGAGTATTGGTTAACACTTGTTTACAATTATGATGAACAATTCTTCTTCACTCACTTTTCACTATTTTTACAAAGTCTGTGGGATAGATGTAGTTTCTACAAACCAATTAAACAATATCGACCTCCTTGGCCATACTACCTGGTGATGCTAGCTAAAGAAGTGAACAGAAGTAGACGCCGGTACCGTCGTAATAAAACTATATTTAATCTAAACAATTTTCTTGAACTAAAAAAAATATTTTATGCTGAACGTTTCGAACTGACGAAACAGAAATATGAAAAGAAAATGGAATGGATAAAGAAAGACCAAAATATATGGAAAATTGCAACCCCGATATTCCATTCATATTCACCACCATTTCGTGGTCTCAATGTTAATAATATAATAATTAAAGATCCTGAAACTATAGTTGATATCCTTGCGAATCATTATGAGAAACACTTTGCTGATCCTCAACACGATGAGAATAATATAGTGCATCAAAAATGTATATCGATCTACGAACAATTAGGGTATATGCCTAATATTCCACTCGATAATATTTCTATTAACGAAGTTAGTTACCAATGGAAACATTTATCCCCAAAGAAATCCACGGATAGTGTTGGCACCTCCGCATTTCTTTTGAAAAATTTACCTGACACATATGTAATCATTATCACGATCTTATTTAATAAATGTACCTCTAAAGGTGAATTTTTCTCAGCTGCCAAACATGCAAAGGTAGTCTGTCTTTCAAAAGAGGGAATTTACCCCTCTCCCGAGAAACTAAGACCAATCTCACTGTTGCCTAATCTTGGCAAATGTTTAGAAAGGATTATACATAACCGTATTCTTAACTGGTGTAGAGATAGGAATGTCTACATTGATGAACAATCGGGTTTCTCCCCTGGTAGGAGACTCCAAACCCGTATCATCTCGCTCATCGAAGAGTTGAGACTCACAGTTGCAGCTAATAACAGACCAGCAGTAGCCATATTCATTGATTTTATGTCTGCATTCGACAATATGTGGATACCGCATCTCATAATGAACCTATATAAATTACATATGCCGCTCCAACTATTGAAGTGGATCCTTAACTGGTTGAAAAATAGATCATTTTATGTATGTCATGGCGATCAGAAATCTAGATTAATTGCGATGAAAAAAGGTGCACCGCAAGGATCTGTAATTGCAGCGACTTTATTCAGGCTGCACATGCAATTTATTACCTTATATTTTGATAATACAGTAATGCATTTGTTTGCTGACGATTTAGCCTTAATCCTCAATGGTTCACTTGAGAAAAAATTTTCTCAGAACGTGATCGAATTAGAACAAAGAGCAGCAATAGTCCTTAAGCAACTCGAATGTTCTTCAAAAGATACGATTTTGCCGGTCAATGTTTCTAAAACTAAGGCTGTCCTTATTCATAATGTTGTGGCGCCGCCTTATCCTAAATTGTGGTTTAACTCGCAAGAAATAAAATTTGTTGATAGATTTAAATACCTGGGAATATATATCTCAGTTAAATTAGGATGGGGAAAATACATCTATGAAAGACTTAAGATCATCACAAAAGTGCATAAGGCAATGAAAACAATTTTTAGAACAATTAGTAAGAAAGAAATTAAAATGCGCAAGAAAATTTTCTATGCATATGTCCTCCCGCATTACATATGGCTCTTTACAACCTGGTTCTACTTTACAGAGAAACAGAAAGAGAGGATTGAGCATAAGTTCTGTACCGGTTTGAGAATTGTTTATGGACTGTATAACTGGGATAATCTTACCACATTAGTTATAACTAAGGAGAGATCCATATATGATTTTCTGTTTGTGTATTGGAGAAAATTAGTATGCCACCTGATGACATCACCTGAGGCTCTTGCATTTCAACAAAGCTGGAATGCATACCTGTTAATAACTGATGTTAATAAATGCTGGACGAGGGAACGAGGCTTTAGAATGAACAATAGATTTTACAATAGGTTAGTCAGACAAGTGAAGCATTGTCTCATAGATTGGGCTGAATTTGATTGTGTCCATGTTAAACAATATGACTGCTTTAGAATATCCACAAATTTGTTAAATACATTTGTATTTAAATTTTTTCTATCATCCGCCCCAGTGATTTGATCTGTGTTCTTTTTTCTCTCTACATGTAACTGATATTCTTTTTTTTGTGCTGCACTATTATCTTTATCCTCTTTTTTCTTGGTGTTCTTTTTCACTTCTCCCCCATCTATATAACTTTCTTCAAACTCATTGTGAACCAAAATATCTATATGGCACAATAAATATATATGTTAAAAAAAAAAAAAGATATTTTCGAAAATATCTTTCAAGGGTGTTTCGAATAGAGATGGATGTGGTCCAAGGTTACCAAATCTCCTGTTTTGACCAGAGATCTCCTGGTTTTGAAACTTTTCTCCTGGCAAGAAATCTTCTGATTTCAGGAGCTGATTTTTATGTTTTCTACTGATTTCTCCTGATTTTTTCTTTTCTCTTTAAAATCACTATAG